AAACTATTTATTATTTTTAGTATGAAATACTTTTGCGATATATAAATCGTAATATTATACAAAAAATTTGAGAAAATATTAACTTCAAAACTTTGTCCATGTACCTTTAAATTATCATCATTCATTTCAGTATAAATACACAGGGGAAAATCTTAGGGTCAGCTATTGGAAAATCTCTTAAATTTTCAATATCACAATCTGTTGTACCGGTATATTTTTTGAGAATTTCGAAAACAGTTTTAAAAAACGCTGTATTGATAATTACAGAAACAAAATACGAAATACAAAACAGATATTCAAGAAACGTGTTGTCTAACTTTTACATATTTTGTACGTAACAGGAAGGATGCAATCGGACAAATTTAGCTGCAATGTATTGTTAGGTAGTGTAGAATCAAATTATTCCAATTATTAAAAAATAATTTAATTATATTGGCAGGAAGTAACCTTAAATAGTTGAATTTTAAAAATACATAAATCAAGTAGAGGTAAAAAAGTTTTCTTTTTCTTGTAAATAGATTTTGCAACTTTATTTAGATTTAATCAAATGAGTTCCTATAAGGATATAGTTATATCAAATTCTACCTACCCTGTGCTTTTGCCCTTGCTCCCCCGGTTGACATGTTTCTCAGTTGTGATGTTTTACATTATTATGTTCGGTAGCTGAAAAAGGAAGTATTCCCATTGCAGTTATTTTCAAAAAATCAAAAAAAAAGTTCATTTTTTCAATGACATATTTTTGAAAAATGAAAGTGGTTTTACTATGTTTTTTTCAACTTTATTTGAATAATACAGTAATAAACTACTAAAATTCACTGCATTGCAGAAAAGAAAATATTTCTTTTAAAACATATTGACATTTAAACTTTAATGTCCTTCCTGTTACTTTCGTAAAAAAGAGCTGTGAAACTCTTTCAAAATTTTCATCTAATAATCTTTTGTACGAGGGTTGTCCGTCAAGTTCGTGGAAAATATTGATAATTACTGTCAAACATTGACAAAATATCTAAAACTATTGCTTTCATTTAATTCATGTTTCATTTTATAAATATGCTAGTTTTCAACAAAAACAAAGCACAAATAGTTATACTTTTATCAGACAGAAAAAAGACACACACTCATACCCGGAACACTAAAACGAAAATTCTTGACGTTACCCAACGTCAAAAGCTAAATACGAGCACATGTTTTTTTTTTTCTTAACATAGTCACCGCTTAACTCAATACATTTATTATGTCGTTTTGACCAGTCAAAAAATGTGCACAAAATTTTAAGGTTTCATTCGTAAAATAATATTTAACAATGCCTGTCTCATATTCTGCAATCAACCAACCTCTGTCCGTGTAAAGACGATTTTATTTACGGAAATACGGCAAAGTCATGTTTACACTATGAAATTTATTTTTTACAGCACTGCAATCTAAGAATGATGGTTTTCCTTCACGTGTCTCATCTTGTAAACTGTTCATTCAGTCCGAAAATATTATATGCCACTTAAAGACACTAGTGAACTACTTCTTTTACTATGTTTCCCCGATTTTTTTTTACAGAATGTACTGGTATCTGTAGGTGTTTTTCCGATGTCTATACGCAGGATTTTATCAAGCACTGCTCACTGCTCATCTATTCCGTAAACGTCTCTTTTTTGAACAATTCCGATCCTGTTTTAATATGTTTTAACTTCGATTGCTCAGCCATTTTGAAACTTTTAACGTACAATTTTGCAGGTTTGACTGGACCTCAACCTCATAATGTAAAATTCTTCCAGATTTCCCCAAAATTTTATAAAATACAAATGAAATTAATAAAGAGATAAATAATTTCTTTAATTAAAATTTTGCAGTGCTACGGGTCTCCATTCCAAGTCTAATTATGAAGCCATAATTGTAATTAAATATTTGGAATTGAATAAAATTTTACATTTTTCAATTCACATTTAGTAAAGGATTAGAAATATGCCAATATTAAATATCAATGACACAACTTTTATTAGATTTTTAGCTGGTCCACGAATTTTACGGACAACCCTCGTATATTGTTAAAAAATGAAAAAAATATCATTGAATGCCAAGATGTTTGACAATATATGAGCGTTTAAAAGCATGTCAAACTACCATATACCAAGCAGAAGCAAAATCTACAGGTTTCTCTTCATGAAAATCCTTATTGCGGAATGTTTATATACTATGATTGGAAAAAAAAAACATTCTTGTACATTATGTTTGTGATTAGAATAAATTACAGAAAGTTATTTAAACAGGTGCTCTGCCAAAGCAATTTAAACTAGGAAAATATACTGGTAACAGTAAGGACTCGGGAAACAGGAAGGACAAAACAGTAACAGGATGGACAATGAAATCTACAATTTAAATAAAAATTGACTTTTCTAACTTTATTGGTTAAGAAAAGAGAAAGAAATGTAGAATAAAAACATGATTTTGTCAAATCTGGCAAATTCGAGACAATGAAGACAGATTATTTTATTAACATATTAAATAATCTCATTTAATTGACGAAAAGTCTGTTGTGGTTTAATTGTATGCTTATACTAAGTACAAGTTAATTTGGTTGCAACATTCCTTGGTACGACCTATCTAATATCACACAACTTCCGTTTCCGTTTGAAAAAATCACGGTAACCTGCACAACAAAATTTTCCCCTCCCATCCTTCCCAATAAAGTAATAATATACGAAGACAGCATCGCTATTCAAACGATTAGGTTCATTGGCCAAGTTCGCCATTGTTTGTAAACAATGCACTCGTTAAGGGTCAAAGATTTTGACCCAAAACACAAGCAAACGAAGGTGAATGACACGAAGTGTCAAATTAAACAAAAACTTCGTATTGCTATAGCTGAAAATACAGCATTATCAGTTCGATAAACACTATAAATAATCCAAATTTGACTGAAAATCCTTGTCGAAAATATAACGTGTCTTGTTTGGAATCGCGTTACACTAAGCACTGATTGGTTGAATGGAATCACGTGACCTAAGTCATCTCTTATATGATCCCTCAGTACTTTGATTTGATAGAATATATATATATAGATATATGTAATAGATATAATTTTAAAATGTCCTTAAATTCAATAATCTGCCGTAAGAATTTTATCTTTCAGACACAACAGACTTCACCTTCAATAGGAGCAGTCCAAAAAAAAAAAGCTGTGTGTGATTCAATGGATCGTGGGCGCCTTTTCCAAGCAGATGACTTATGGAGACATAGACATGACTTTTGCTGTGAACTATATACTTTAGAACTTTTTATTCAAGTTATGACCTTAATCCTGGTATTTATATACCTATGTAAGTTTTATCATTTGTTTTTCTTAAAATTATGAAAAATTTTAAGTTTTGCAACAGCATAGAATACCTTTAATAAACAAAAAATGAAGTGATATATATTTTAATAACACTTTACAATTAAATTTCGTAACAGGATGGACATAACTGTCTTTCATTGATACTGTCTTTTTACAATTGGTTCGAAAGCATAGATATATTACTGCTGTGATCCTTGAGACAAAACCTTTCTTTGAGCTTTCGCAAAAGTGGGTGGCAATTTAATGAAAACATAAACTTTCAAGTTAATTTGCTGTATAACAGATTATTACAAAAAGTACTTAAGTCCTAAAGAACTGATATGGCATAACAGTATGTGCTCTATAAAATTTCTTTTCGGCTTTTGTCATTTCATATTACCCTACATTTCGTTGTGCCATTGCTTGCAGTTAGAATATATTCGCACTCTAAGAAGAACAACCAGTATAAGTGTGTGTTTGTGAAACTCTTATCATGATGATCCCATAAGGCAGTTTATGGCGAAGGCTCCAGTTTCTCAAGTATAAGTCAATATCCATGTTGTTACCAAAAGAGATACGTGTCTCAATGAATACATCTGTGAAATATGAAAGCCCTAGCAATTACCATTCAGGAGTTATGCCCTGGGATTAAGTTTTTTTTTAAGTAAGTCAAATTTCAAGTTCAAGGTCAAGGGACAAAATTAATGGTGCTGATGGGGACATTGTCATAAGAAATATTAAAGCTCAAACACAAACTGCTCGAAAGTTACGGCCATGGTTCAAGTTTTCCAAAAGTAAGTCAAAGTACGCTCTCCATGTCCAGGTCAAAACCTTAGTATCCAAAGACAGATTTTGTTATAAGACATACATCTGTGAATGTGAAGTTCCTAGTATGTGTTGTTTAAAAACTATGACCAAGGTTAAATTTTTTTTTCTAAAAGTGAGTCGAACTCTACGGCAAGGCCAAAAGGTCAAAAATATCTCCCCCCCCCATGAAAAGGACTTGTTACAATGAATACACGTGTGAAGTATGAAAGCCTTAGCTCAAAATGTACAAACTTAATGGCTGGTGTAAAGGTTTGGCATGTTTGGGGGTAAAAGTAGGTCACACTCCAAGGTCAAGTAAAAAGATCAAATAAGTTGAAACACAAAGAAAGGTCTCATTACAAGAAATACATATGAATAATGAAAGCTATAGCTTCAACGAATCAATAGTTGTTGGCAAGATTGAAGTTTTTGCGTACAAACAAACAGACAGACAAGCAGACGGACAGGGTAAAATCTAGATACCACCTGAATCTTCGAATACGGGGCATAGAAATATCAATGAAATATATGGAGATAACGAACAGTATTCGAGCTCAAAATTCCATTTAATACAATATAATAGGAGCGGAGCAAACATGGACCTCCAAAACATAATAGGTGGGATAAGGTAGAATGGAGGGGTGAGCACAAGAAAAACACTAAAAATAAAAAACAAAATGAAAGTAGTCTGAATACGATATTGATAATTGCTTAGTTGTAATAAAACTTGCCCCCAAAACCGGATGTATAAAAGAAATTTTAGTTGTAGACATTTTTTCTGTCGGAGGGGGGAGGATTGGTAAGCTGACAAGAGTAAAATTTTTGAATAATTAAAATTGGGGGGGGGGGTATTGTGCTTTAAGAATTATGGTAAATGAGACTTAGGTTACTTTTAAAACTCTCTTTTAAAAGCTTTAATGAGTTTATAGTTAAACAACCTCTCAAAATCACTTTCAAAATTATACAGATACATGGGCAGATCGAAAAGGGGGGGGTGTACTGCTACCACCACCCCTTTGTAATTCGTTTTTTTACTTTTTGGTTTGTCAAGAAATTGCTGGGTTGGATTTTTTTAATAGGAATGTAAAACACCCCCCCCCCCCCCCCAAAAAAAAGTCATTGATTCGCGACTGCTGATTTATGGTCATGTGCTCAAAACGAAAGTAGGGATATCAGAGCATATCAGTTTTCACTAGGATTTTATTAAATTGTGTGAACTAGATGTCCATGTAATAAAACATATTAAATATACTCAATCAAATTCATTCGACATATTTGAAGATTATTTGAAATCACCTTTAGGGTTTATCTATAGCGAGCTTCTCTGATGATGTGTATATAATTGAGGTGGTTCTGAGAATCAAATACGAAATTTTATACTTACTGAAAATAACAACACATTGATTCACTCATTTCCTTGGAACATTTGTTTTCCCATCCCAAAACAGACTGAAAAATTCCTTTTTCAAATGTTTAATTGCATACTGGATTTCCTAATCTAAAAATAGAAGCTCCATGTTTCCGTTCCCTCTAATATGAAGATAAAAATAATCTTACAAATTCCCGGGGAATTTAAAATGACCCCATATCCCTGTAATGTTGTAAGGAGAAAAGCTCCGATACTATTTGAAGAAAAAACTGGTAACAAAAAGAAGAGTCGTAATATGGGTGTTTTTGACTCATGTATTTTAAAATTAAGCGCGAATTCATAAAGTATAAAGTTGAAATAACTAAATCTACACCCATAGGAAATTATAAATTTATATTACACACACAAACACATTCTAAAAGAAGATTCAAAACCCTCTCTCGCTGCAGCAAGTTCAAGAATTTTAAAAATGAATACACCAGGCCATCTATAGTGATTTGATAATTTGTTTGCCCTCTAAGGGTCATTTACATGTAAGTTATCTATGAAACGATCGTTTTTACAGAAACTGTGTGAAAACCCTCTCTCGCTGCAGCGGTATCTGTTCAAGAATTGTAAATGAATACACCAGGCCATCTAGAGTGATTTTATAATTTGTTTGCCCTCTAAGGGTCCATTAAGTTATCTATGAAACGATCGTTTTATAGATATGAAACGATCGATGATGACCTCAAATGGAACCATTCATATCCTTGTTTCCTCATTACGTTTAATAGTCAATAAGGACATGCCGTTGAGTAGCAAACAAGTTGAGAGACATAAACATCATACTTAGAAGGTGATTCTGGAATAATACCACGTAAAAAAGGAAAGTTGTCGATGAAAAAGCCAAAGTAATCTCGTTTGACAAACAATTTAGTTGTTAATGGGGTCTAATCGTCTGTAATCAGTGAGGCATCCAACTATAAAAGCAATGTGACAGACTCTGTGTTGTCTTTTATTTCAAGTTCACTGGGATATATCGTGTCGAAATATGAATGAAATTAAACAATTTATGTTAATTGATAAATTAAAACGTCGATTTTTCTGAATTTTGAGTCGAAAGCCGCGTTTCTGAATAAATTCTGCTTCGTGGGAATATAAAAACAGATATGCTTATAAAGGAGCAAAATTAATGACCCTCGGATTACCAATATTTTCAAAACTCTTTATCTCCGTAGACAATATAAATGGTGTCAATGAGGAACATGACCAACTTTAGAGTATTTTGTGTTCCTTTTTTATAATCTCAAAAAGCCTGTTTTTTTTTTTTTGTTTTGTTTTATCGTAAGCGATGGTTGAATGCAATTTGTACAAAAAGTTGATGAGAGAGACTTTTAAAAATATAAATTTTTCTGAAAGTTTTTTGGAATTTTTTGATTGAGGATTCACATCTGATTTATATTACTTCTTGAATGTGCGGAAGCACAATATGACATTAAATTGTCTGAAGTTTTTCATTTCATAATTATATATTTTTTTAAGGAGTAAAGTCTGCCCGTTTTGAGGCTTGTTGGAACATTTGCTGGATCCGACGACGAGTCTTTGTTTGCAGAGATTTTAATGACGCTTAGGAACCTTGTATTGGAAGGAAAGTTCCAACTCAGCTTTGTTGACTGGTATTGTAAAAGTACAAAGTATTACACACTGAAATGTGATGTTGGAGAATATCATCCTTGGAAAGAAAATTGTGAGTATCTGTGGGATTTCCAAACGTAAAATTTAATCCAACTTCCAAAAAAGTAAAAACAACGGGCAAAGACATGCTTGTTCCAAACCTCGTCTTCTGGAAGCACAACATATCGTTCTTGTAATCTCTCTCTAACTTTTCAAATATCTATCTTTTAGTTAGACCGGAATAATAGATGGTTTGCTTTAATATTTCCTTTTCTAATACAATTCTTTAAGATATGTCTAAATTTAAATACTTAATTTTTTTTAATATTATTATTTTATAAAATTTTAAAATGTATCATTTTCATTTTTATAAAGTGTTTAGCTCTTCTTCTTTTTTATATATATAATTGTTTCGGTTTTGGGCATAACCATCTACAGAATTCATAATAGAAAGTTTGACGCCAATTTTACGATGATGCCTTCAACGCCTTAATTCTCAACTATGTTAACATCATCAGTGATGAAGGGTCCACCGGGACTAAGAAGTAGAAAAGCAGTTACACATAAGAGGATTTAAGCGCATGTGACTTATCAACAAAACTAAATACTTCAGGCAAGTAAGAACAGACAGACATACAGATGATTATAGGGAACCTGCAGAACTAACAATAGAGAAAGAAAACGTTTAAATAAAAAAAGAACCTTTATTGTTAATATATTTTAAATTTCTTGACTAATATTTTCATTTTTTTTTGCCATTTGATAATTGTACATGTACCAGTTAGTTTTAACAAGAGGCCCACGGGCCTTATAGGTCACCTGAGTATCAAGTAACAACTTGCCAACAATTAATTGAATTTTGTTCGTGTTTTAAACAAGAGGCCATGGAATTCACAGTTTTGAAAGAGGCACCATTGCAACATCGCTTATCATAATCATATACTTAGCATGCTTACTCTAGTTAATTAATACCCAAAGGTAGATCAGAGTAACAAAGAGAAAATGCATTTCAACTTTATAACCAGTTGTGCATCCTACCCCACAGGAACCACTGACACTGGGGCTAAATATTTCAAAATTATAGAATATTCATCACAAATATTTGATTAATACCAAAGAGCAAATTTCAAAGCATTAATTTATTTTCAGACTATGTACCCCCCCCCCCCCGATACCCCTCACCCAGGGGGCATGAAATTGATTATTTTGCTAGATGCACCTTTCTTCATCATAAATATATATATTAAGATCACTGGAATAATACCTAGGAGCCATGGAAAAGATTTTCAAAGATTTCATGCATTTTCACTATATAATCATTAGAGCCCCACCCTAACACCAGAATCCCTGACCCAGGGGCCATAAAATGTTGGAAAAGGCATCCTTCGTCATCATAACTATGTACATAGTTCATTGGTTTAATACCCATTAGCAGAGAAGACGATTTTAAAGAATCAATGTATTTTCACTAAATAATCAATAGAGCCACGCCCTTACACCACAACCCCCAACCTAGAGGCACAAAATTCATAATTTTGGAAGAAGCACTTCTGCTCATCATAACTATATACTTACTTAGTTTGTCTAATACCCAGGAGAGAATAAATGTATTTTCACTGTATAATCAAAAGAGCCAAACCCCCTTACACCAAAACCTCTGACCCAGGGGCCATGAAATTCACAAATTTGGTTGAGGCACTCTTGCTTATTATAGCTATATTCTATAAAGTTAGTTTATTTAACACCCAGGAGCAGAGGGGAAGATTTTTGAAGAATTTATGCAATTTCAATATATAATCATTACAGCCCCCCATCCCTAACCCCCACCCCCACCCCCACCTAACACCAGAACCCTGACCCAATGACCATTAAATTCACAATTTTTGAAGAGACACTCTTGGTCATCATAACTAGTACTTAATTAATTTGATACCCAGGAGCAAAAGACAAGATTTTCAAAGAATTGATGTATTTTCAATGTATAATCAATAGAGCCCGCTCTAACTCCAGAACCCCTGACCCAGGGCCATGAAATTCACAATTTTGATGAGGCACTCTTGGTCATCATAACTATGTACTTGGTTAGTTTGTTTAATACCCAGGGGCAGAGGAGAAGATTTTCAAAGAAATAATGCACTTATACAATATGATCAATATAGCTCCACCATAAGACCAGAATCCCTGATGCAGGGGCCATGAATTTCACAATTTTGGTAGAGGACTCAAGGATAATTAAAATCATGCCAACGGTTTGACTGCATGATGTCCAGGAGTAAAGAAGAAGATTTTTTAAAGATTGCATTAAATTTGGTGATTTTGGCCCCATCCCTCAGGCTTCAGGGGGACAGGGACCATGAAATTCATAATTTTTGTCCCCCTTTACCCATAGATGCTGTATACCAAAATTGGTTGAAATTGGTTCAGTCGTTCCAGAGAAGAAGCTAAAAATGTTCAAAAGTTTACAACCGACGTACGTCGACGGACGAAAACAGATAGCAATAGGTCACCTGAGTTTACTCAGGTAACCTAATAAGTTAAAATTTAAGTTAAGTTTTTAAAAACATATTCTGTTTATCAATATGCACAATTGCTAAATTGTTTCGACATCATACTTTTATTGCATTGATAAATTAGGAATTTATTTTTGTACAGTAGTAATGCCTGGAAAACAACTGTGGAATTTAAATATAACGGCATAGCTTCTCAAAAAAATATTTAAAAGAAACAGTGATTGATTGTTTTTAAATAACCAACTGTTAATCATACAACCGTTGTGGTTTAAAAAGGATTCATATCTAATCTGAATAAGAATTTTGAAATAACTGAAGTATTGTTAAAATTTGTAAAACAAAAATATATCTATCTCTGAAATCAAATAAGGGATGTACTTATAATGCTTAAATTTAAAGCTCTAACGCATACACCCATTCCTTCCATATCACTGCAAATATCAATATTATAATAATTATTTATATTCAAAAGTAAATACTACTAGGCCCTATTTCTTTTTCAGATCATTTACAATTTCATCTTTATCCCCTTCGATGTATCCACACAGTCTGTCGGCAGAAAATGGTCGCGGAATGCAGGACAAGATATCTTTCCTTAGATGCTCATGAGAGACAGTTTTATTTTGGTCAGTTGACATTGCATTGGAGCTTTGATGCCTATCACTAAAACTGGAGAGCGGAAACGAAGACAGATCAATTGCCATAGGAATGGGTACTTCATAACCTCTATGCATTGTAGTCGACGAAGAGAGGGATGTATTTTCGGAAGATCTGTGATCATTTGAAAAAGACGAAGGCGAATGAGCTTGATTGCTGGACGATGATTCGAAGAGTTGAGAAGACGTGCTTGCTGCAGGACTACTGCAAAAATTTAAATGTACGTTGTCTTGAACATGCCCTCCATTAGATGTAAACAATCTGTTGTTAGATTCAATGTGACATTCAAAAGGTATATTTGGAGGAAAGTTAAAATTGGAAACACTACTTGTACTGTTTGATAAGTTATTAGTTCTAATGATCTCGTCAGGAATCTGTTTTGAAATACTTTTCTTGAAACTATTTCCTGCCCTATTTTCCTCAATATCCAACTCCTTCCTTGCATCATTGGCGGGTTTTTTATGCTTATAGTTAGCATACCTATCATTAGAGGGCGAATCACAAAGTTCTAATGGCGTCCTGCGTAGGACGGGCGCTGTAGGAGGGTCCTTGAACAAACTGCCATTTGATGAGCTCTGATGTACCTGCTTCACAAAAGTTTCCTCACTGAAAACTTCTTTTTCTTGAGTGTTTTCGTTTTCAGTAAAGGTAGGTACCGTATATCTACATGGAATATCATAGCCAGTTTGATTATCTTTGAAATGATCAACCCCAGTGAAATTGTTGTGCAATGGAAATTGTAGGTCTCGAGGGCGAAAGCCTCTGTTTTCGTCCGTTTCTTGATAGTATACAGATGTCATAGAATTAGTTTGTGAAAGATGAAGATTTTGGTCATGCATGTCCTCTTTATCATCATCATTATCCTCGACTGGAGAAGGGGTTACCATCGTGTTGTTGTCACCTATCATTACGTTAGTTGCTGTAATATGCATTCCTTGGTAACTTTTCTCTGGAACTGTCGTCTGAGCACCATGCCTTTTTAACCACATGATTTCTTTTTCTCTGTGTTTGTTCTGTCTTTCCTTTCGAATATGCTTATGCTTTTCATACAATTTTAACAACATAGAACGGATGTCTTCATTGCTAATTTTCAAGTAAGCTAAAGGCGTTGCTATTTTGGCATTCAGCGGTAGAATCACTTCTTTCTCACCAAGAACCGGAATAAAACGTTTACCGTAAAGGAAATCCTGAAAACCAGTTTTGCATGTATAAGCCGCATATTTGGCCTTGGATAATTTTGTAAAGAAGTACAGAACTACTGAACTTCTCTCTAAATATTCACCCATGTAAAATTTTGCATCACCGCAATGCGTGACAACAATATCCCGAGGAGCACAGTCATTCAAAATCTCTTTTATCTGTTTGACAAACGGACCAACCCTTTCTTCCTCTTCGGTGGATGGTACAACCACAAAATCGGCATAAAAGTCAAAATTAGGAGGTAGTTTCCGCTGCTGCCTATCACAGGGGGAGATGCCTGAAAAGAATTGCTGTTGATGTTTTTCCCTCTCAATTATTGACTATAACAGTTAATTCAACATTAATTTGCTGTTATACAGGTAAAATACTCACGTGTATTTTTTCGTTTTACTTCACCTATTAAATGGAAGAATGGTAAGTATATGTTTTATTATAAGGAACATTTTGATTAAAGTGCATGTATATTCCAGCAAAAAAAAAAAATTTTTAAGAAAAAAAAATGATTTATATAGTTTCCATACCTGACATGATAATAATCAGTATTTGTTCATTTTATTTCTTTCAGCTCTAGAAAAATGATTTAAAAATGTTTTTAAATAAAAATGAAATTAGACTGCTTATTGTTTTTAGTTAACAAAGAAGACAGTCTTTCCACAATAGTTATAATCTTAATGACAGAGATTTTGAATCACATGGATTGCCTTAATTACTATTAATCAACGTTCATGTTTCCAGGAACATAAATTATTAAAAGTGTTATATTCTCTTTACTGGTAATTAATCCCAAAATATCAAATCTTGAAGAGTATGCCTTTACCCTTTGTGACAGTAAACAACTTAAAGTAAATAATATAAAGCTATCATATTGAATAACTTCTTATTGAAAATAAAATACAACTGTATGAACTGTATGTGAAAAAGGATAGAGGGTTACGAGATATGCCTGACAGTCTCCAGTGAAGGGTAACCAATTGTGTTGAATTTTTATGTCAACTTAGTAAACAGCTGTTCTTTCAATTTTTAATGATAGTGATAGTCTATTTTAGAAGCATGTGGCATGTGTGACATTTGGAATTTGACGGTTGTGTCCTTTTTTTTTATCATTAGCACTTAGCATTTCTGAAAACAAATGGTTTGTTTTTCTCTCGATGATTTGTTTCATAATGGTTGGTTTTAACAAATTTCAGCACTGGAAAAATGAAAAAAAGAAAGACTAAATTATGGGAAATGGTTATTAATAAAACTTTATTGTCCTCTGATACGCTGTTTGTTTAAATGTAAAAGAATGCAAAACTTGTTTTCTATGAGAATTTAAGATATTGCATGAAATATATGAAGATAACGAACAATTTTCAAGCTCAAAAGTTCATTAAACAAGAGGCCCGTGGGCCTTATAAGTCACCTTAAAATCATGTAACAACTTTCCAACAATTGAATTTGAATCATGTTTTAAACCAGAAGCCATGAAATTTACAATTTTGAAAGAGGCACCATTGCTTATCATAACTATACACTTAGCTTGCTTACTTTTTTTACTTAATAACCAGAGGTAGATCAGAGTGACAAAGAGAAAATGCATTTCCACTTTATCAGTTGTGGACCCCATACATCAGGAATCACTGACCCTGACCCACATCTTTCAAAATTTTGAAAATTTTATAAATTTTATTTCACCATGTTGTTGATTAATACCAAAGTGCATATTTCAAAGCATTAAATTATTTTCAAACTATGTAACCCCCCCCCCAAGTACCTCTGTCCCAGGGGGCCCGGAAATTAACCATTTCGAAAGAGGCAGCTTTCTTAGTCATAAATATGTACTAAGATCATTGGAATAATACCCAGGAGCAAAGGAAAAGATTTTCAAAGAATTCATGCATTTTCACTATAAAACATTATAGAGCCCTGTCCTAACGCAATAAGCCCTGACCCAATGGCCCTGAAGTTCACAAATCTCAAAGAGGCATCATTCCTCCTCATAACTATGTACGCAGTTCACTGGTTTAATAACCAGGTGCAAAAGAGAAGATTTTTAAAGAATTTATGCATTTTCACTATATATTCAATAGAGCGCGACCCTAAGTCAAGAACCCCCAATCCAGGGGCCATGAAATTCACAAGTTTGGAAGAGGCACCCTTATTCAACATAACTATGTACTTGGTTAGTTTATTTAATACTCAGGAGCAGAGAAGAATTTTTTCAAAGAAATAATTCATTTTCACTATGTAATCTTTATAGCCCCACCCTAGCACTAAAACCCCTGACCCTGGGGCAATGAAATTCACAATTTTGTAAGAGGCAGTCTTATTCAATATAACTATGCACTTGGTTAGTTTATTTAATTCCCAGGAGCAGAAAAGAAGAAATTCAACAACAAAAAAATATGCATTTTCACTATATAATATATATAGCCCCGCCCTAGCAATAGAACCACTGACCCTGGGGCCATGAGATTTACAATTTCGGAAGAGGCAGTCTTATTCAATATAACTATGCACTTGGTTAGTTTATTTAATGCCCATGAACAGAGAAGAAGAATTTCAAAGAATTTATGCATTTTCACTATATAATCTATATAGCCCCACCCTAGAAACCGCTGACCCTGGGGCCATAAAATTCACAATTTTTGAAGAAGCATTCATTTTCAACTTAGCTATGCACTTGGTTAGTTTATTTAATGCCCAGGAGCAGAAAAGAATTTCAGAGAATTTATGCATTTTCAATACATAATCTATATTGCCCCGCCCTAGCACTAGAACCCCTGATCCTGGGGCCATGAAATTCAAAATTTTGGAAGAGGCAGTCATTTTCAACTTAACTATGCACTTGGTTAGTTTATTTACAGCGAATTACGAAATAGTGGTAAAGTTTTCAATAGCTTGCTAGATAGCTCAATAGGGTATAGAATTTGGTTTCACAAGTATCACAGTAGGTTTGAATATAGGTCATGAGGTTACTCAGGTGTATCATTAGTTTTTACAGGTAAATGTGAGTTGATTTCAATGTTGTATGAAGCCACATGTATCTGCCCATGTGTTCTGCTGTAAATAGATGCATTATTCTTCTTTAATTGCAAATATTTTTTTCAGTAGAATTTTATGCCAACTCTTCCAGTAATGCATAAATCTTCTGCATACTGTACTTTCTACTAGCTGCAGATCTGTAGCATTATGGTTTTATATATTTGTCTTTGACCATAACGCTACAGATCCCGTAATGCAAAAAAGGTGCAATTAATGGCGCAATATTTTGTGCGCACTTTTGGGGAGAATTTCTCTACTTTCCAGCATCGGTAAATTAACTACCTTTCACTCCCTAATTCTAGGCACATTATTTAACTATTTTTATATTTTATCCATCTACCAACCCTTTATAGTCCTCTCTACAAGTGATGAACCCGCTTGATGAAAATTATTTGTTAGATTGCTGAAAATTCACTTCAAGCGAGTTTATTGCCTGTAGAGACAACTATAAATGGTTGGGAGGTTGATAAAAAATACATATATATTTGAAAGGTTTATTGACCAATGCTACAAAGTGGAGAAATTCTCCCCAAAAGTGCGCAAAAATATTGCACCGTAAATTGCACCTTTTTTGCATTACGGGATCTGTAGCGTTATGGTCAAGGACTAATATATGAAAACATAACGCTGCAGATCTGCAGCTAACTTTCTACTTGCTTTAAAGTCTTGTCACTTCTGAAACAAATACCTTTTTAATCTATGTTCGTGACCTGCAAGCAATCCCAAATTAGAAGGTATTTTTTTTCTTTAGGACAAAAATTTCATTCTTGTTAATAAACAACACGTACCAACAGCACTATGTGCTTTAGATTAAACTGTTAAAAATTGCTCAATCCTGCATCCGAATGTTTCCAAAACTGTGAATACACTACTTGTTAGCCTGTTGTTGTACTCTTCAAAATCTCATCACCCGTGGTAATTTGGTTAGATTTTATAATCTTGTTAGATTAATTTTAAAAGCTTTTAAAAAAGTATTTGAAAACCAATACAAGATAAGATATTAGGGAGGTTGAGAATGGAGGGATCAAACTATAATTATGCAAAAATTTGCAAATTTGAACTGTGGGGCCCATTCTAAGAAGGAACTTAGTTCTAGACTCTCATCATTGAGTAATTTTTTTTAGATTAATTGCTTTATAAAATTATCTTACTAATTTTTTTCATAAAAAGTATATTGCAAAACACTTAGCTTGAACAGATTTCATAGAGTTACTGAATAAAGAAATTTACTTGGTTTAGAGATGCTGATAATTAATAAATTCAATATGATTATAAAACTAGGTGTTATCTATATTATTATTATATTTATGTGTTTATTTATAATCAGTGAGTTGAGAGAGAAACTTCCTAACCTTAGATATGTCATTCTTTAATTCAGCAAATTTATTGAAAAAATGCAATTAAAGAAGAATAATGCATTTATTTACAGCAGAACACATTGGCATATATACGTGGCTTCATAGAACATTGAAATCAACTCACATTTACCTGTAAAAACTAATGATACACCTGAGTAACCTCGTGACCTAGATTCAGTCTTAATGTGATACTTGTTATACCAAATTCTATACCCTATTGAGCTATCCAGCAAGCTATTGAAAACTTTACCACTATTTTGTAATTCGCTGTAATGCCCAGGAGTATAAAAGAAGAATTTCAAAGAAATAATGCATTTTCACTATAAATACCATTCAGCCCCGCCCTAGCACCAGAACCCTTGACCCTGAGACCATGAGATTCATAATTTTGGTAGAGGACTCAATGCTGATTACAATCATACCAACGGTTTGACTGCTTGATGTCCAGGAGTAAAGAAGAAGATTTTTAAACTAATTTTAGTTGTTTTGACCCGACCCCCCCCCCCGGCCCAAGGGGCCAGGGACCATTATGCCAAATTTGGTTGAAATTGGTTCAGTGGTTTCAGAGAAGAAGCTGAAAATGTTCAAAAGTTCAAAATGTTCAAACGGACAAAAACGGATAACAATAGGTCACCTGAGTTTACTCAGGTGACCTAACAATACAAAATAGAAGCAGTATTACCCACCTACTGCTTTGCAAGTGTCGAAGCAGGTCTCGTCGCAAAAATTGAGACTCGTACATTGTATACATTGATTTCAAACATCATATGACAAAAATGACCCTTATGTAGTGGCACTTAAAGTTTATGTCGTTAATAAATTTCCTTTTTGGTAGGTGTAAATTATCGAAATGCATTATGTCATGTTTTGATAAATGTAAAATTTGAAAAAGATCTTGTCATGTCGTTTGTCAGATATGTTACTCTTCACGTAAGTTTTAGATTTGCTATATCATGTTTTAAGTACATTTTATTTCTACTGTTGTACTTTTTGAATTGTCATTTCCTATGTCAAGTTATTCCCTGTTCTGGCTGTAACAGACTGTTAACTTTTTCATGTTGTGTGTCAAATAAATCCTTTTTTTCCCTTTATTTATCATTATTGTGCCCCGCTTTTGCGAAAGCAAGGGGACATTAAATCTCATTCGTCTGTAAGTCTGTCTGTCACAAAAACTTTAACATAACTCATAACTTTTGATTGATTGTTGTTTAAATTCCCTCTCGAGAATTTTTTTTACACATATGCAGACGCCATCATTTGCCAGTGGAGAGCTGCAGATTTTGTCCTGTACTCGGCACTGAGCTTTGATGGGTCTTTTACGCGACAGCACCTACTGCGACACGGGGCCTCGGTTTATACAGTCTTATCCGAAAGAGCGGTCTTCACGTCCCACAGTGAAATTTGAACCCGCGACGTAAGGATCAACTCCTTACGTGGCGACTCTCAACACTGCACCACGCGGATGACCTCATACCTTTTGAATAAAAAGAGATGGGGCTTTCACATTAACTACTAGTATGTATATTACCTGTGACAAGACCTTTCTTAATATACTATGATTTTTGACCTCCTGGCCTTGAGCTTGAAGTTTGACCTACTCTTCAAAACTTTAACCTTGGTCAAAACTTTTAAACGAGAGGAAGTAGGACTTTCACATGTCATATGCATATTACCTGGGATATCACCTTTCTAAATAAACTATGATTTTTGATCCCATGATCTTGAACCTTGTCGTTTTATTTTCTTTGCAAAAATGTTATTTATTTCTTGTAATGTTTGATTGAGAAGAGATAGAACTTTCATATTTGACATGTGCATTTCCTGTGACAAGATCATCCCGAACATATTATGATTTCTGACCCCTTGACCTTCATGTTTGACCTAAGTAAAAAGAAACTTTATTTTTGAATGACATATGATAGGGCGTTCAAATTTGAAACAATATGCCATAAACAATGACACAGAGACACCAAAAGCAGAGGGCAAAATACTTTGGATTTGCTTGTCGTATTTCAAGTTGTTTCCTGTCAAGATTTTAGAATTGTCAACTCTCATGTCATATTTCTGCTTTGTACTTTAAGAATCGACAAGTGATGAGAAGCTTCCTTCCATGTCACAGTTAGAGTTGTCATGGCCTGTGTCAGCTAGGTTAACATTTTATTTAGAATTTCCAAACGTCTCTTCCTTGAAAAAAAAGAAACCATCTGCGGCACTTCTCATGTCATATGCTTGCTCTTTAACAATAACTGTACCTATTATTTCACTCAAATTTTCAACTTTTGTCAATGCATTGACTGACGTCTTCTTGAAACATAATCCAAAAAACTGCCAAACCATAGTTGCTTTATTCTATCGAAATAATATCTGAAAAGTCGATATAATTATTTGACAAGTCAAATTTATGTTGTGACAAGTCGAGTTGTCAGATGCTAATGCGACTTGTCAGATAATATTGATAACTTGCCGTATCTTTTGTCAATTTGTGAGAAACATATGACGTCAAGAGGATGGCCAACACTAGACATTAATTATTTTCGTGCTGAATTTTAAAACACATGAATAAATGACAAGTGGTCAAAAAGACCTAACAAGTCAAGTCAGTATAATCATGTGACAAATCTACAGAGTTATCTGACAAGTGGTGACAGAAATATACAATCACAGGAAAGGTTTAGAAATATTTGAGGAAGGGGGGATACGGGAGTATAAAGATTGGCAACTGTTTTCACAGCTATAACATGATGTAATAAATTTTCAATTCACGAGTAAATGCTCTCGAGTTAGTTATCACAATACTAAAATATAAATCTGAACAACTCGTATAATGATATTAAAAATACAATTAGTGTATGCATATTTAAAAAAATGATTGGGGATTTTTGAAAAACTTGCTGAATTACTTAGAAAATGTCATTACATTGCATGTTTGGAAAAGATGAAACTTTTTACAAATACTTGGAAAAATAAAGTCAAAGTATACCTACCTGATAAAGGCAGTTGTCACAGAAATTTCTTTTCGAAGAATTACAGGGCAGTTCTTTGTAAGAATACTGTGATATAATAATAATTCGACTCTCTGTATCTAAGTGATAAGGAAGGATTAAAATTATAAATAAAACTGGGGAAATGTTCATTCATGATCACACAGCATGTTGATCTATATTTATAATTTTTCTAGAAATTATCAATAAAAATCAGGAAGCACTACGTTAAAACTTTAAAATCGTAGCTCTGTATTGAGAAGTTCTTTTCAAACTACTCCTGTTTTCACATAAATAGAAAGTGTAAAAATTACTTACATGTTTTCGCATTTTCAAAGTCGAATTCAATTCACACAAAAAAAATAGAACACTGTAGGTAGGTTTTACTTATCCATGATTACTCCTTTGCGGCATCTGCAACAAATATTTTTGATTTTAAGAAGTATATGGAATTTGATTGGACAAATTTGGAATTGTGATTAATATATGCATGCATTGTCTGACTATGATGAACACATAAAATACAGGTCTGTAAATAGCCAAGAAAGGAAGTGCAAGACGACTTTACACTTTCACCCAGACAAACACTATGACGCGGAAGGATCATATCTAGCATGTACATTCATATATACATGCACATAGCATTTAAAATCATTTTAGGGTGGTTCTTATTTTCTTCCGATTGACAATCTATGTCGTTTATCGGAGATCAGGTCTTCCCATATTTAATTTGTTGGAGTTCCCATTATTAGAAGACCTATTTTTGTTTTTATATGATGCAGAATTTATTCAAAAACTTATCATTAGAAGGAAACACTTGCTGTGGCCTTCGATCAACTCAACATTTAAATCGACGACGTGAACCCAAGTTACTTCCAGTCATATGTTAACTCATTATCTACCAATAAACTGAAAATAAAAAATATCACAGAATCTGACCCATTTGTTTCATAAACCTAGGGATAAGAAAAGGACATTAATGGTAGCCAAAAATCTTTTCCATTGCACCTGCTTTACGAGGTCCGTGGGTCCTGTGTTTCATTGTTTCAGTAGACTTTTCATTATCTATATTTGAGCTCAGTGGACTTCTTAGTTTGTTTGCTCTTTATTATCTCCTTATTTCTCTTAATTACTTGATGTGTAAACAAAACAGTATTTAAAAATTCGAACAAATGATACATAGGTATATGACGGGATAGAACTATCTGAATAAAACCCGACAAGAAGTAAGTATTTCAAGTTTTTATACAGAGGAAATTATCCGATGTATTAAGATGAAAGAGGGGATAGATCGAATTATCATTTTGTTAAAAGTCAATTTTTTATGAAAAATACGGCCTTTTTTTTCCATAAACATTAAAAAAAATGATTTCCTAGAAAATAGGAAAACGCCTTTTCATGTTTATCAACTATTGTCCGGAAGATGTCGGTGCGGGTTTTGCTAAAACCAACTAAATAGGAAACATCTGTGGAGTCGTGTTTGTTTGAAAACAAAGTTATCAATGACATTCATAAAAAAGCTGGTTACCTATAAGTGAATAAGGAAACTCGATAATTTAGGAATATCCATTAAGAAAAGGAAACGAACATTGGAGTTATATTTAAAAATGAAATACCATTGTATCTAAGCATTACATTTTTATATGAAATACTTTTCACTGCTTCTTAATTCTGATTGTAATTTTAAAGGAGTTAGTATGAATTCAGGTGCATTTGTAAAAGTTTTTTTTTTGCAAACATTCATTATTTTATAATCGAGGAGCAAACAATCTATAAGAAGATGCCTTAGAAAGTGCTTAGAGGATTATGAGTATTTTTTTTTATCAATTGGATTAATAGATTTGGTAATGGTTGCATTTATAACAGATACTGGTTAAATATTTTTTCATAATTTGATTTAAGCTTCAGAAGTCTAATTGCTATATATTATATTTGTCACTCTATTTTCATTTTCTGTCTTATAACATATATTTGTGATGCATTATAAATTCATTCATTTATTATTGTGCAATGAGATGAATACCTTATTAATGATGTTGTTTCCATAATAATAAATGAAATTGAGCAATTGACTCTCTTATGATAAACATTTATTTATCTTCCTTCGAAAATTACAAAACACAGAGAAGAATATATTTGTGCTTAACATAAATGAAATTTTTTTCAATCTCAGTTTCATAATATGTTCTGAGGTCTAAATTAGGTTTTGCAATTTTAACGTCGGACTTTAGTTTGCGTTTTTATATTTCAGTTCAAGAGATGGTTTTCTATTTAATTCTACTTATCATTGATTCGAGTTTTTAAAATATCTGCCTCTTAACAGAGGATTATGATATTTATCTGACATGTTGCAAGTTGATGTACACCACTAACTTAGTTGTTAAAATGTTGATTAGTTTGATACTATTTAAGGTTCTTTGAGATATGATAACTAGTTCGAAATATCTGAGGGTTTTCATCCTTTTCATTGTCTTGATATTTAATGTGCCATGTAAACGTAGGAATGTTAACGTAAAATATCAAATTCATATAAAAAAAAAAAAAAAACTTTGAGAACGTCGGACATTTCTGAGTAAATGATAACATACCTTTAGTTTCTTGTTTTGTTTCGCCAGCCTCCGCCCTTTCCCCCTCCTTTTTGATGGCATGATTGAAATTTAGCAATATCTAAAAACAAACTTCTTATAGTATATTCAGAACTGTGGCAATAACAGACCGATGATAAAGGACTGAATTTTCGTACCTTGTCATAACAACAGAAATTAATTGAAATAGATTGAAAATTTCATTCTTTAAAATATGTTCTCATTTTTTCTGTGAAGGCTTACAACATGTCTTGATATTGTGCACCTACTGGTGCAAACTAGTATATAACATTCCTTTTATGAAAAATATAACATCTCAAAATGAAAAAAGAATCAAATTCACATTTGTTTTCAACAGGCCTATCGCCAGTGCAAAATTTTCTTTTATACCTTGTTTTTAACAGCTTAAATTCATGAAAAATTTAGAAAAGGTTGTTAGTCCTGTTCCTTACTGCAATTTCAGACAATAAAATAGATACCCGTAACTTGAAAAAATGACACCAGGACTCACAGCCTGCCTTCTCAAGTAACGACACCGAACCGATGTCATCGTTACGAGCCAATTTAAAGTGTTTAACGTTAAATTTCTGACATCGGTACCTTCACGTATTCATTGCCGTAATGATTGTCGACTTTTAAGGCTAAATTTACCAGCATACACGTATAGAATACCATTCGGATAGCTTTCATATTTTCTCACTATATCACAAAAGGAACTCGAGGTTCATTCACACCTTGTGTACAAATAATGGTAAAAAATCTGTTTTGTTTAAAATGGGGAAAATTATTAAAAGACTCATTCTTACGTCATTTGCTGGCTTTTCTGAATTTGATACATAAAATCTCACAATTACGCACTGTGAAATTAAAGGTATGGTGCTAGCTCCTCAGTACTCGTACATCACAATTGTCTCTCTTTGACCACATTTTTGAAGCAAAGAAGCTTTTCATAATCACATTACCATTTCTTATTATCAAACGTTTACAAGTTGCTATTATTCTATCACAAATATACATTTCAATTAAATTCATTTATCAATCATCATAAACTGAAATAATAACACATACACTTCTACCTCACACACACCCTCACAACGCTGTCGATCGTATTATTTGAATGCATATAAACTCAACATCGTACGACAGAAACAGGGATATAATGCACTGTTCGATGTTGAGTTCTGCATTAAAATAAACCTAACTGATTAAGACCGGTAATACGGTCGAAATTTTTTTTTTATTCAATACTAGTAACCAAAACATGAGAGATTTTGGATTTATATATTTATTTTAACTCCTTCTTTTCTTTCTTTTTTGCTTTCTTCTGTTTTTTTGTTACATGAAGTTGGTAGAGCCTAGCTATGCTTAAAAGATGGTAAAACAGGTGGGGATTCAAACCCTGGCCCTGGATGCCCTTAGTCGATAAAAATAGATAGCAACTGTTCCTTCTCTACAGGAGCTCGGCAGTTTGTCGCTGGACTTTCTGAGGAAACTAAACGCCAAGTAATGGTCTAAATGCAAAGTACTTTATTGGTATGTGGTGGCCTCCTTATATGTATGAAAATTCTGGAAAGGGGGATTAAACAATATATAATCAATCAATCAATCTTTCGTCATGTGGTTTGTATACAAAGCCTTTGTACTGACCATGAATTGTACATTTTTTGCATTATTGAACGTAAACTATCGAAATCAAACAGTGCATGGATTAGTATTTTGTTGTTGTTGTTGTATTTTTCCACGAGTGAAAATTTATATAAAAATTTGATTTTCTGTCCATTTTTATTTCGTTTCATAACACTGTCTCAGAAGCCCCTTCCTAAAAGATGTGGCATCATAGAATATCAATTGTGAAATTGAAAATATTGTTAACATGAAGTTCAAGAACAAATGGGAATTTTGGAGGTCCGTGTTTGCTCTGTTCCTATTTTGTTTTGATTTATGGACTTTTGATCTTGAATATTGTTTGTTATCTCTATATGTTTCAATTTAAAAGTTTTAGTCTCTGGCAGAATGGTTTGTTTAATCTTGATTTTAATTCTGAAAATGGTAATCTAACTTATATTTACAAGTTCTTCAAAATCACGTTATTTTTTTTTTTAAATGTTTTAATACTACCAACAATCAAAATGGATTTGTCATATCTTTACTGGATTTATAAATTTAATAAAATCCTCACAAACGGACTTATAAAGCGAGTTACAGAAAATTATTCTACGAAGCCTATTTCTTTATTCCTCATTAAAATATTAACAGCATTGAAGGGAAAAAACTTCCTGAGTCCTGAATAACAATATATATTAAAAATGGGAGAAAATCAGATGTGGATACTTTAATAAATCCAAGAACTTTTAGAAAATTTGAAATCACAAAGTTTTACCAAAATCATTAACATTAAAACATATTTTTGACACTTCATACAACTATTTTCCGCGATACACTTAATTTCATGTTTTGTGACATAGATATCAGTGACAGCAGCTTCTTTTCCCCAATCAATTGAAATTCGTATATTTCATTGTCTTATCATTGATCATTTGCAAAATTATTTTGTTAAAATAATCTTATTGTACATACAAGTACTCTGAAGTTGATATTAAAAGGATGCTTGAGTTTTAATTGACAATTTCTTTGTAGTTCTTGTAGTCTTCCAACATCTGTCTGAGTTCATCTTCCATTCATTTTCCATTATTATTTCTTTCGTCAGGTTCCTTTATTTATAAAATACTGGTATGATAAAGTTTGGGTCTCCAAGTAAATTAGATACGCAAGAGTATGCTCTATAAAAGAACTATTTCTGAAACAAGGATAGCTTATAACAAATAGGGATATCAGCAGTCCCACTTTTGTCAATTCTTAGCAAATTCTTTGGTAGATATATTGACCTTGTCAGCAAAAAGTCAAATAGCTACTGAAGTTTTTCTTGCAAATTATTAGGCCATTTCTTTCTAAAGTATCTACGGATTTTTTTTCCTATCAAACCGAACATGACAAAGAGTACACGGCGGGTGTGAACGGTCAACGGGGATACTGATTCCTCCATGTCACCTGATCCTTGTATTGTTCTGTTCCTGATTTTCACCGTTTCAATGGACTTGTATGATCATCACTGGTGTTTGTTATCTTCATAATTCAGAGTCACTTTCGATCTTGAATAATATTCGTTTTCTCCATGTTTCATACTTTATATTTTATAAAAGAGGCTATATTTTTTGCATCATTTTTCGTGAAGGAAAG